ATAAGCCAATTACCCGTATTAAATATCTATAAAATGAATTTTGCTAAAAGATTTTGCTGAAGAAAATTATATAATTATCAATAAGATCTAATTCCTATTACCAATATGAACAACAATATGCATATTTTTGTTCATACTTATTTTTCTATAGTAAATATAGTCAGGTTTTCAGCTTCATTAGCCAACATTTCTCATTACGTATTTTTTTAAAGGCACCTGTCAGCATAGTAGGGCCCAAGTGTATGCACGGCAGGTGCATAGTACATAATTAATTACTCTCCAATGATGCAGTCAGTTTGCCTATATGACTGATTTGATATCGCAAAGGATATAAGATTGATATTAAACAAAATATTCCCTTTTAATTTATAGATTTGCAACACATTTTCATGCAGAAACATAGATCTATTTACTTGGTTTGAGGAGCAAAGCAAGATGTTTTGCATATTCCTTACAAAATAAATTTAATAAGACCATGCTTTAAAGAACATATAGAGTAACAGTCAAATTTGTTAAATGATCATTCCATTGAAAATGAATTTTTAGTAGATATATCCCTGAAGAAAATATATATGTTTTCTATGGGGGTATATTGGGTAACCCATTTGTTCATTTGGCACGATTGAATTGTACCTAATGAATTTAACATAAAAATCAGTTCCCTAAATACCGAATAGCCTGAAGTGAACAAAGTAAAACCATTAGTTTCAAATTTCATACATTGATCACAGCATGGCATTGAACAATGTTCTATCTCCCTGATTTTATGCCGAAAACTCCTGAATCAAAACTCCCAAACCGCCAAATGCCCGAACGCTATAAGTTGCATAAAAATGTATTGGCACTATTAGTAAGCTCCCAAACACTCATGTAGGCATTTGTATGTCGAATTGCATTGCAAATGCTTAGTCTCTTGGGCTCATGAATCATCATGCTACTACAATGACAGGTGGGAACTGTCAACACAGTATCATTTTAGAAGGGAATGGGACTGGAAAAAGTAGCCAATTAAATAGGCCTATACAGGGAGTGCAGAATTATTAGGCAAATGAGTATTTTGACCACATCATCCTCTTTATGCATGTTGTTTTACTCCAAGCTGTATAGGCTCGAAAGCCTACTACCAATTAAGCATATTAGGTGATGTGTATCTCTGTAATGAGAAGGGGTGTGGTCTAATGACATCAACACCCTATATCAGGTGTGCATAATTATTAGGCAACTTCCTTTCCTTTGGCAAAATGGGTCAAAAGAAGGACTTGACAGGCTCAGAAAAGTCAAAAATAGTGAGATATCTTGCAGAGGGATGCAGCACTCTTAAAATTGCAAAGCTTCTGAAGCGTGATCATCGAACAATCAAGCGTTTCATTCAAAATAGTCAACAGGGTCGCAAGAAGCGTGTGGAAAAACCAAGGCGCAAAATAACTGCCCATGAACTGAGAAAAGTCAAGCGTGCAGCTGCCACGATGCCACTTGCCACCAGTTTGGCCATATTTCAGAGCTGCAACATCACTGGAGTGCCCAAAGCACAAGGTGTGCAATACTCAGAGACATGGCCAAGGTAAGAAAGGCTGAAAGACGACCACCACTGAACAAGACACACAAGCTGAAACGTCAAGACTGGGCCAAGAAATATCACAAGACTGATTTTTCTAAGGTTTTATGGACTGATGAAATGAGAGTGAGTCTTGATGGGCCAGATGGATGGGCCCGTGGCTGGATTGGTAAAGGGCAGAGAGCTCCAGTCCGACTCAGACGCCAGCAAGGTGGAGGTGGAGTACTGGTTTGGGCTGGTATCATCAAAGATGAGCTTGTGGGGCCTTTTCGGGTTGAGGATGGAGTCAAGCTCAACTCCCAGTCCTACTGCCAGTTCCTGGAAGACACCTTCTTCAAGCAGTGGTACAGGAAGAAGTCTGCATCCTTCAAGAAAAACATGATTTTCATGCAGGACAATGCTCCATCACACGCGTCCAAGTACTCCACAGCGTGGCTGGCAAGAAAGGGTATAAAAGAAGAAAATCTAATGACATGGCCTCCTTGTTCACCTGATCTGAACCCCATTGAGAACCTGTGGTCCATCATCAAATGTGAGATTTACAAGGAGGGAAAACAGTACACCTCTCTGAACAGTGTCTGGGAGGCTGTGGTTGCTGCTGCACACAATGTTGATGGTGAACAGATCAAAACACTGACAGAATCCATGGATGGCAGGCTTTTGAGTGTCCTTGCAAAGAAAGGTGGCTATATTGGTCACTGATTTGTTTTTGTTTTGTTTTTGAATGTCAGAAATGTATATTTGTGAATGTTGAGATGTTATATTGGTTTCACTGGTAATAATAAATAATTGAAATGGGTATATATTTGTTTTTTGTTAAGTTGCCTAATAATTATGCACAGTAATAGTGACCTGCACACACAGATATCCCCCTAACATAGCTATAACTAAAAACAAACTAAAAACTACTTCCAAAAATATTCAGCTTTGATATTAATGAGTTTTTTGGGTTCATTGAGAACATAGTTGTTGTTCAATAATAAAAGTAATCCTCAAAAATACAACTTGCCTAATAATTCTGCACTCCCTGTACATACTGCCAGACAAAACTGTAAAAAAAAATTTAAAAAAATGAATTCAAGGCAGAGCCAGCAATACTTCAGTGCAAAATCTATCCCGAAATTCTATAGGCCAGCCTTTCAACCATTTTAGAGCTCATCCAGCCCACCACCCTGTGAGCCATTTTTTTAGGTATTGCACCTGTAACAGAGTGGCCATGTCTTCCTCCAGCTCCTCAAGTGATCTAACAATGGATATAGTGGAGGGGAGCATTGGCCACTCTGGGGCACACGTGAATGTGGGAGAAGTAAGGGAAATCAGAAGCAGTATAACAGAAGTGTTTTTTATTGTTATTTATTGTTTTTATAGTGTATTTTATTCTTGTTCAAGTTTAATCAAATCAAATAGAATATTTTATTATTAACTGTGAAAAAAATGTAATGAGAACTCTTAACAACAGTAACTGACTCTCTTAATAACAGTAACTGAGTCCATTAAAATGGATAATGGACTCAATTACTGTTACTGAAAGCACACAGGGCTCAGTGGTTATAGTGCTATGTTAGTGGTTATAGTGCTATGTCAGTGAAGGCACACAGGGCTCAGTGGTTAGAGTTAGAGTGGTTGCAATTGTTTTTTTTTCATATACACACACGTGTGTATATATGTAATAATTCTACGTTTATATTTATGTAATAATTTTACATAATTAGGTCATTTAATTAATTACAATTTGCGGGGCCTGCCTGGCATCCCAGGCAGAAAGTCCAGGGAATTTAATTTGCTAGCACTATATTTAACCCTGTAACTATCCAAGACACAATAAAACCTGTACATGGGGGGTACTATTTTACGCGGAAGACTTAATTGAACACAAATATTAGTATTTCTAAACAGTAAAGTGTATTAAAACTATGATATTGTGAATGAAAGTGAAATTTTTTGCATTTTTCACACACAAATACTATATTTGACCCTGTAACTTCCCAAAACACCATAAAACCTGTACATAGGGGGTACTGTTTTACATGTGAGACATCGCTGAATACAAATATGTGTATTTTATTGCAGTAAAAGCAAACAGTATTATAACATTCACAGTTACAATGTCATGTAGAACTAAAAAAGTTAAATTTCTTATTTTCTCCTATTTTTAAATATTTTATTCAAATTAAATTATGTTTCATACCTAAATATTTGATGTTAAATGAAAGCTCTGTTTCCCCTAAATAAAATTATATATAATAAGTTGGGGGTGCACTTAATATGAAACAGGTGAATTAAGTATGAACAGACATGTATTCAAATTTCAGGTTTTGTTAACGTTTTGTTTTGATCACAATGTGTACATTTGGCTCAGTCCTTAAGGGGTTAAAGTTATTCATCAATTACACATGTTATTGCAGTTACTATGACCTCAGGCACATGGTGAAGAGGAAGGTGAACAAGGCAGCAGCCACCTCGAGGAAGAGAGGAAATGGTTTGCAACAAGAACTACACCTGCTGCCCTATGAAGAGGAGCTCCTGCAGTTCCCAGGAAGAGACAACCTCCTTGGGATTGAGGTGACAATTGGCGCTGATACATCTGAAGGTATGTTGTTAAATTCATATTTGTTAGTGAATGTACATATTCAGTTTTCATGTGTTAACCCTCCAATTTGTGTTTTCTATACCATCAGTGCAAGCCCCTCAATTCCAGGAAGAGGCATCAGGAACTGCAGGAGATGCTGTCTCCACGGAGAGTAGGGCAGCAGGTTCACCTCCTGTCTCCCAGGAGATGCGCCTGGCCAAAAAAAAAGTTTCCACCCAAAAAAAAAGGTCACACACTCTAATGTTTCATTGGACCGACTTTAGCTTTGATTACGGCACGCATTCACTGTGGCATTGTTTCGATAAACTTCTGCAATGTCACAAGATTCCATCCAGTATTGCATTAATTTTTCAGCAAGATCTTGTATTGATAATGGGAGGGTCGAACCACTGTGCAAAGCCTTCTCCAGCACATCCCAAAGATTCTTAATGGGGTTAAGGTCTGGACTTTGTGGTGGCCAATCCATGTGTGAAAATGATCTCGTGCTCCCTGAACCAGTCTTTAACAATTTGAGCCCAATGTATCCTGGCATTGTCATCTTGGAATATGCTGTGCCATCAGGGAAGAATAAAATCCATTGATGGAATAACCTGGTCATTCAGTATATTCAGGTAGTCATTATTTGGGCACATAATGTTGCTGAACCTAGACCTGACCCCAGATCATAGCAACCCCAGATCCTAGCACTGCTCCCACAGGCTTGTACAGTAGGCACTAGGCATGATGGGTACATCACTTCATCTGCCTCTCTTCTTACCCTGATGCGCCCATCACTCTGGAACAGGGTAAATCCCCCACTATCCTTCCAGTTTTTAATAATGCATTGGACAGTTCTTAACACAATTTTAGTAGTTTCTGCAATCTCCTTAGATGTTTTCTCTGCTTGATGCATGCCAATGATTTGACCCTTCTCAAACAGACTAACATCTTTTCCACGACCACGGGATGTGTCTTTCGACATGGTTGTTTAAGAAATGAGAAGCTACTCATTGCATCAGTTGGGGTTAAATAACTTGTTGCCAGCTGAAAGATAATCACCCATGCAGTAACTATCCAATAAGAGTCTTACTTATTTGCTTAGTTAAATCCAGGTGGCAAATTTATTTTTGGCCAGGCAGTGGCAGCCTGAGGTTTCTCAATTAAAGGTACACTATAGTCACCTGAACAACTACAGCTTATTGTATTTGTTCAGTTGAGATCTATAGCTCCCTGCAGCCTTTCTCATGTAAACACTGTATTTTCAGAGAAAATAGTGTTTACATTAATTGATAGGAATACCTCCAGTGGCCGTCACTCAGACGGCCACCAGAGGGACTTCCTATCATGTAAGGCCCTAAAAAGGCCTTGTACACGTCAGACATATTAAAATATGTCTGATGTGTGCAGGAGAGAGAAGGCACTGTGTGCGCGCCTTCTCTCTCCTGCCTGTCAGCAGAGGAGAGGGGGCGGGTCAGTCAGCTCAGCTCGCGGCCGCGCACACCGCGCACATGCGTGGTATTGCGCTCAGGACTTCATAGGGTGGCATGAATGACGAGCGTTCTTCACCACTGTTGTCCAGGAACAGGGATCCACTGCTGAGCGTAAGTAAAATATATATATATATATATATATATATATATATATATATATATAAAATATTCAAATACTTGCACTCCTGTAGAGATAGATTAATGCCTGGTGCTAATAAAGCAAATAACATAAAAATAAAAATGGTAGGTAACAGCACTCTAAGGACTTCAAAAAGTAAATGGTGAAAAAAACTTAGCTTTTATTCAGCAACTGCCACACAAAATCAACGTTTCAGTTCTTAATACAGAACTTTCATCAGGATAAGGTGCATTACACAAACCAACATTAATATATAAAAACAAATAAGTACATAACATGCAAAACAGGTGTAGCTTACCCCAATCCCTGTGTGGTCCCCATGGTGATCGCCAAAAAACGCGGGTAAAATTAACCCCTGGAAATGTATTCAGCAGCTGGGATGTGCTGCTGTGTAACCTCATAATGCTGGCAATAGCTGGAGCCGAAGGCTGTCTGTGTTACCATGTCGTTATGGTAACCAAACTGCTCGTGTGGAGGTGGGCGGGGCGGAGCATCAGGTGGGCGTGGCTATGGTCCGGTCTGTAGAATGTACTCAGTGCACAGAGGGCGGGTGTCTGGTATGGGGGAGGGATCCTCTCTCTGCATACTTGTGATGCCTCACTGGTTTAAAGGATAGATGGCAGAGGGATAATCTGCTAACAGGGGTAGAAAGCACAGACATAAAGGACACTACATTTTGACTTCCATGTCAAAAACATGGCAAAGAAGTAGGTCTAAAACAAAGCTATTGTGTGACCATAGAGGGCTGGAAAAGTGACCTATATAGAATACCTCTAGGTTAAATTGCAAATAGCAGGGTCTGAGGCTAGATATAGAGTGGAATCAGGGCTATATTACAGATGCTGACTACATGTATGTAGTGTAGCATAGCAGGAGCTAGATGTCATAATGTCTGATATTGAATGAATAAATAGACAAGGAGTAAACAATAAGCCCTTGAATAGATACAAAGGGCACGCTGGGTTTATTATTCCCAGGGTAGCTGTATAATAAGTCAGCCCTTATGGCATAATCATACATGGATAATGTTATATCCAAGGTTAGTACTTCAACCATGGATAGAGCATGAACCCATAAATGTGTTAAATAATAATACACTGTCATAAAAAGAGTAGTGGTGATTCTAAAGTTCCTGCGGGGACGTGTGTCTAGAAAGACCATTGTCATTTATATATGCTAGGAATACATATAATGTCGGTGCTGTCCAATGGTAATGTGTCAAACTTTAGTGCGCCCATCGGTCCACAGTATAATACGCATACATAAAAAACATACAGGCTATAAGCTAATATACAGAGGTGGTTAATTCTTAGAGTCCAATATATATACACAAAAACATTTAACTCTAGGTATATTCTTATGATATATCTCCAGGACTGGACCAAAAATATCCTCTCATTTTAATGCTCCAAAAATGTTTTTGTGTATATATATTGGACTCTAAGAATTAACCACCTCTGTATATTAGCTTATAGCCTGTATGTTTTTTATGTATGCGTATTATACTGTGGACCAGGCCCGGACTGGCCATCGGGCACACCGGGCAAATGCCCGGTGGGCCGCGGTGGCCATGGGCCGAGGCCGGCAGGGGAGCTCCCAGGATCTCCCCTGCCGGTCTATGCAGGGCCGGCACTATCCGAGCGCCGGCCCCGCTGTTTTCCATGAAGGGCCGGTGAGGGAAATCAAAGATCTCCCTCACCGGCCCACATGCTGTATAATGCGGCCGCGGGCAGGGGGAGAGGGAGGGAGACAGCCGCTAGGAGAGAGGACCCGGCGGAGCTCTAAATTAGAGCTCCGCCGGGTTCCTCTCGCGAGATCCGGCGCGTTGCCATGGCAACGACCGGATCTCACCACAAGGACCACCAGGGAACCCCCCCTCCCAGTCCCAGGGATCAGTGTGCCGGTCCCCCCCTCCCAGGCTAAAGGTAAGAAGGGAGGGGGGGGACATAATGCCTACTTTATTTATTTAACCCCCCTCCCCCCTACACACACAATCCATTCTAACATTTATACAGCACTCTCACACACAGCACTCTCTCACACACATCACTCTCACACACATCACTCTCACACACAGCACTCTCACACACATCACTCTCACACACAGCACTCTCTCTCACACAGCACTCTCTCTCACACAGCACTCTCTCTCACACAGCACTCTCTCTCACACAGCACTCTCTAACACAGCTCTCACACACAGCACTCTCACACCACACACACACAGCACTCTCACACACACACTCTCACACACAGCACTCTCTCTCACACAGCACTCTCTCTCACACAGCACTCTCTCACAGCACTCTCACACACAGCACTCTCTCACACAGCACTCTCTCACACAGCACTCACACACAGCACTCTCTCACACAGCACTCTCTCACACAGCACTCTCTCACCTCTCACACACAGCACTCTCTCACACAGCACTCTCTCACACACAGCACTCTCACACACAGCACTCTTTCACACAGCAGTCTCTCACAGCACTCACGCACTCTCACACACATAGCACTCTCACACAGCACTCTCTCACTCTCACTCACGGCACTCTCACTCACGGCACTCTCACACACATCATACACAGCACTCTCACACTCATCAGACACACACACATCACACAGAGCACTCTCACACACCGCACTCTCACACACATCACACACCGCACCCCTCAGACACACATACTGCACCCCTCACATACACACAGAACCCCCTCAACACACTGCACCACACACATACACAATACTTCCAAATATATATTTATATATATACACACACACTACACTCTTAACATGCACACTCTGGATCCCCTATACACACACTAGATTCCTTGTAAGCAAACACATACTACACCCCTAAACATACACTACATCACCTATATACACACACACACACACACTATAGCCTGTATGCACACACTTGCTATATCCCCAATACACACATTCTCTACAGCCCCTAGCCACATATGCATCACATTACACCACAAACACAACATGACTAAAACCAACCTTATTACACAATACCGCACCACAATCAGCTCACTCTACACACACGCAATACCACAAGCAGGCTCCAAACACATGCACAATACTCTTTCCTGGCATTTTTGTTTCCTGGTATCTTTATAGAGACACCAGAGACAATTTGCAAGGAAACACAGTGCAAGCATGTTATTAAATTTGCTTTCACTGTGCAGAACAAATACAGGGCTTTTTTTATCATGCTAGAGCTCTTCAGCAGAGCTCTGCGCATGGTCTGCCCTGGAAGAGCATTGAACCAACATGCTCACTTTGAGAGGGGGCGTGTTTGTCATTGGTGATGACAAAACACACCTCCTCTGCCCCCGCCCCCTTCTTAGTGGGCCGCTGTGTTAAAAAAATGCCCGGGCCGAATTTTTCTCCCAGTCCGGCCCTGCTGTGGACCGATGGGCGCACTAAAGTTTGACACATTACCATTGGACAGCACCGACATTATATGTATTCCTAGCATATATAAATGACAATGGTCTTTCTAGACACACGTCCCCGCAGGAACTTTAGAATCACCACTACTCTTTTTATGACAGTGTATTATTATTTAACACATTTATGGGTTCATGCTCTATCCATGGTTGAAGCACTAACCTTGGATATAACATTATCCATGTATGATTATGCCATAAGGGCTGACTTATTATACAGCTACCCTGGGAATAATAAACCCAGCGTGCCCTTTGTATCTATTCAAGGGCTTATTGTTTACTCCTTGTCTATTTATTCATTCAATATCAGACATTATGACATCTAGCTCCTGCTATGCTACACTACATACATGTAGTCAGCATCTGTAATATAGCCCTGATTCCACTCTATATCTAGCCTCAGACCCTGCTATTTGCAAGTTAACCTAGAGGTATTCTATATAGGTCACTTTTCCAGCCCTCTATGGTCACACAATAGCTTTGTTTTAGACCTACTTCTTTGCCATGTTTTTGACATGGAAGTCACAATGTAGTGTCCTTTATGTCTGTGCTTTCTACCCCTGTTAGCAGATTATCCCTCTGCCATCTATCCTTTAAACCAGTGAGGCATCACAAGTATGCAGAGAGAGGATCCCTCCCCCATACCAGACACCCGCCCTCTGTGCACTGAGTACATTCTACAGACCGGACCATAGCCACGCCCACCTGATGCTCCGCCCTGCCCACCTCCACACGAGCAGTTTGGTTACCATAACGACATGGTAACACAGACAGCCTTCGGCTCCAGCTATTGCCAGCATTATGAGGTTACACAGCAGCACATCCCAGCTGCTGAATACATTTCCAGGGGTTAATTTTACCCGCGTTTTTTGGCGATCACCATGGGGACCACACAGAGATTGGGGTAAGCTACACCTGTTTTGCATGTTATGTACTTATTTGTTTTTATATATTAATGTTGGTTTGTGTAATGCACCTTATCCTG